TCTGTTAGTGAATATTTTGATCACTTCAAGGCAATAACATGAACATGGATGTACTCACTATGTTGGTATATCTTATTTTGTATATTTTGTTTTATTCTATTTTATGTTTTATTCTATGTTATGTGTATTAATGTATTTTCAACTATTGTATTTTGTGTATGTTGTATATTATATTTTTTACTTTTTCAATGCATATGTCATATAATTGACTTGCTACAAACAAATGTAAAATTTTGTAAACGTAGTTAAATAAATCTTGAATCTTCTCTTAGGCAGGTGAAACCAAGTATTGGCAATTACCATATTCTTTTCTTGGCAGAATTCTCTGAGCCTTTCTCCTCTCTCGTTTCTAGTCCTAATCCGAACTGTCCAACTATATTTTCAACTGTACCTACTCCAATTTTTGCATTAAAGTCTCCTAAAATTTAAGGTTGATCTTCACCCACAATTAATTTGTTTCTGATCCTAGAGATGGCTCTACTGCGGCATGCTAATCTGGTAAATTTTTTAACTTAATTGTAGATTTCTACATGATGACTCTGTAATATTTTTAAACCCTAATATAAATTACAGTTTTCTATCATTATATCCATTGACTGAGTTGCCAAATTGTGTAGACAGTAATTTTATCAAATACACTATAACTTACTAGTAGACCGAGTTAGCAAAGATATCTTTAACAACATCTTTATGTATAATATTTTACTGTTCTGCTGTGTCAAAATAAACAAAGTTACGGTTTTGCAGGAACACAAGGTCTCATTCACACATATCATTGAAAAATGATCTATATTTATTATCTAAACATTTTTATCGCCAAAGAGGTACTTAGCGGCGCTATCTGTGTCTATAGCGGTAGTATCGTATTACCATTAAATTTATACATGCATTCATATATTATTTTTTTGTTGATAGTTAAAAATTAAATTATCTTAAATATTAAATTAAAAATTAAATATCTATTAAATTATTCGCATTAAAATATTTTAATGCGGATTATATGAAAAATGGTCAATCGTCTAAAACATGCGAACATGTCTTCTTTTTATTACTGGTTTCACGTTTGTTATCTTCCTAATTAATGCGTCTTCTTCTCTTATTTGTATGTGCTCAAATTATCTCAGTCTTTGTGGATTAATAAATTTTACTATCTCTTCCCCTTTCTATCTCTTATTTCATGCTTCATTAGTCTTCTATATTCTCCGTGTTCAGGCCTTATTGGGCTGTTTATTCTTATAATTTTGCTTTTAGTAATTCTTACTTTTTCTTTATCTTTTTTCGTAAGACATATTACTTTCGCTCCGAATGCTATCACTGGTCTAATTCCTGCTCTATATATTTTTGTCTTTGTTTTTTTGCTATCTTTAAGTAGTGGGTGATATTTCCAAATTACAACGTTCTTCTCTTGCCTTGTGTGCGTGGTAGTGTCATGCGTTAGATGTATGATTTGGGGTGGTTGATACGTATTTAGTTATCACGGTTATATTTGATCTAATTAGTTCTTCAGTTTCCGTATTCGACCACTTTATAAAGCCAAATGTGATAAGTGGTATTGCGTATGTGTTTATTGCTTTTACTATGTGCTTTTAATTAAGTTTGCTTTGGAGTATTATTATTATTGTTATTCAGATTTAGCCATATCGATACGATATCAAAAGGATTGAGCTCTGGTGGGACTCTTTCCATGTTATCGAGTCCTAGGTGACTTGGTACGTCGGTGTATCTCCTAAAAGTTTTCGCATGCATCTGGACGTCGAAAGTAGCACAGCTTTCTGCATGACCTTATATAGATGTTCATTTAGACCCAGCTTTTTTATGTTTTCTAGGAGGTTCTTCGGAATGACTCCAGTGGTAGAAAGAATAATAGGTATCGTCTGGGTACTTTCCATTCTCCATTGTCTTTTTATTTGTATTTCCAGATCTCTGTACTTGGCGATCTTTTCGTTGTACTTAACACTCAGATTATTGTTGTTAGGTATCGCCACATCGATTAGAGTTGTTTGTCTTGTTATTTTATTAACTAGCACGAGATCACATACACCCGCTCCTACACGATGGCAGCCTGAGGTACCCAAGCCCCAATGGCCACAGCCTTTCTTTAGGCAAAATCAAATGCCTTTGCAACAACAGCCATTCAACAATAGTCCAAGAGTGACATTTCAACCCCCTAGATTCCAACAAAATCAACAAATCACTTAATATGCACAAAATTCTACAACTGACTAACCCAATTTTCATAAACCATATCCATCTCAATCATATAAGCCAATACCTATTAGCGTATTTAGACGCCAAACCGGCAATAGACCCCAATCTCAAAGAAACTTCCGCTTTCAAAAGACAGCCAGGCCCCGATTCACGGTAGAAAAGCTCTTTAATATCGAACAACAAGAGCAATTATGACGAAGGTATATAGACACATACCCAGATTACTCTTACTATGAACAAAAAATTCATAAATATGAGGACAAAGATGTAAATTTTCAAAGATTTCAAAAAGAAAAAGAAGAAACTTAGTAGAATTGCATTCCTTTGCTGACAAAAGAGAGTTTCATTACATTAAAATTCAAAATCTCCCTCTTAAACTTCTTATTGTTACAAGAGCCACTAAATCTTTTCTTAATCCTGATATAACAAATAAATTCCCCAAAAATAATATTAAATATGAACCAGCTGCTACATCAATTTTTTTGAATCATTCAGAAGGTTATTGTGTAGAAATTCCAATTTTTTTCCGAATTTAACTCAAATATTAACTTAAAATTTTATATTTGCAAAGCTTACAAGATATTTGATGGTCTTAATCTTAAGGCTTCTTAAAGCAAATCTCGATTCTACCCAAGCTACTCTTACTACAGCGCATTCTATTCTTCCTATTAATTACTATGCCACAAATAAAGCCCAATTCTATATAGTCCACCAAGAGCCCTAAAGAATTATACAAGTCAAATTTACAGTAAAAGAAACATCAGGTAAAATCGTCATCCAAAAACAAGAAGTCGAAGGTGTCATCCTAAGAGAAATTCTCACCGTCGCATATAATCAACTTGCCTGGACCGAGCTAGTCAATAACACCGATGGATATATTCAAGTAGCAATAACGGATCCCATCAAAAGTCAACCAATAAATCTAAGAGATGTCGATCCTTTCCTAAGAACCGATCATTTTAATACAATAGAAGAATATTACCGAAAACGACAGTACAGGAAGTTTGCATCATGCATATTTCATTATTCAGACGTCAGTTAACATTTACTAATCAAATAAAACATCATATACGAACAAGAGATGAAGTTCCGGTTTACACCAAGTCAAATCGGTATCCACACATCCATAATGTGGGTCATTCCAAAGCAACCAGATGCCCAAGAAAAATTAAATGGAGAATAGATGTCGACTACAGGAAGGTGAACAAGAAAACCATCGATGGTCTATACCCAATTCCAAATATAACAGACATTCTGGACAAACTAGGTCGCTGCAAATATTTTTCTACCCAGTTGTAGCCAGCGGGTTACATCAAATTAAAATGAAGGAAGAAGATATTTGGAAGACTGCATAACTTAAGGGAACTTAACTGGAAGAGTTAACGTTGAAAATGGCCACTATGAATGCCTGAGAATGCCATTCGGACTCAAAAATGCACCCTCAACATTTTAGAGAGTGGAGAACATAATAAAAAGACTTACAGGCGAAATATATCTAGTCTACAGGGACATTTTCAACCTCACTTTAAGAACATATGGTAAATCTTAAGAAGATTTTTGAGAAATTAAGAGAAACAAGATTTAAAATACAAGTTGACAAATGTGAATTACTTAAGAATAACTAATGCTTATATTATAATATAAAAATTATCACTAATACGTTATGCAAGCAAGACTATTGTTTATAAATACTAAAATAATTAACTAAAAACGCCTAAATAGGTTTTTAGAAACTAAATACGTTTTTTATAGATATATTACTTGTAGATGGAATAGTACAGTATCTACTATTCTGTAAGTTCTAGCATGCCAAATAAAATTCATTCAAACCGATAACATTCTTATTAAATCTTGTTGTAATTTGTCAAAGTGTTGTACAAAATAATTGATATGGCAACCCTGCTAGTATGACGATTCGCTTGAAGCGTTTCGAGGCCGAAAGTAATGCAATCTATCGATGATAAATACTACCAACGTTTGAGATGGAGCCACCTCTCTAGTATACAATTTGATGCCGGCAATTCAAGATATAATTATTGTTTAACGAGATTTTTCATATGTTTAGGAAAAAATATTCAACGTTTTATTGCAAATATATTCCACTTTTACAGTTTTATATATGTTGTTATTAAAATTTTTTCCGGTTTCTTACCGGTAGCTTTATTATAAGCCGGAACATAACATTTTTTCCCGTAGTGACAAAACTGTAAATTCAAAAATTTTCAAAAAATTCATAAGTATTTCTTAGGGTTATATCTTTATGCTGTAAAAAAAATTATCAAAATTGTATGTCTGGTTTTCCCGCTTTATACTTGGAAAAAAGTAGTTTTTTAGAGTTTTTTCGAAAACGAAAACATGAAGTTTGTTCAAACTTTGTCAAAATACTTTTAATTGTCACATATACCTTCTCAATTTTTTTCAAATTTTTTGAATTTGTAGTTTATTTTTTGGGGGGTGCAGATCAACCTTAAGTAATACAATTAATTGTGGTTTAAGAAATATTTAAAAAGGCGACCAATGTTGACAGTCGTATTATTCACATTTGCTTTATATTTTGTGTACATACGCGTAGGAAGATTTGTTATAAAAACACATTGCGATCACGCGATCACAACGTCCTAACTTTTAAGACAAGCACAGCAGGTCTTATCTCCTTAACCCTGATTTCGCTGTATTGATAAAATCTTTTATCCAAAATTATCGATTCAGTTCCGGAAATGCTGCCTGTAACATTTGCTTAATAAAAAATTCACTAATAATGACTTAACCAGCTGAATTTAAACGTGCCAAAAATGGATAAAAATACTCAGGACGATATAACAACCAAACACAGAGAAGCAATTTTGAAATATTTAGGCAAGAGTGAGGAAGATTTGGCTGAGTGTGTGAAGTTAATGAAAAGTTGGTTCAAAACTCAACCGCATCTTCCAGAAGTTCCAAGTAAGTAAAAATACGTTTATTGAAAAGTAATACTTTTCATTGTTTTATATTTGTCGAATTTCTATACCACATCATTTGTCTTTAGATAGAATTATATTGCATTTTTTCTTCTTTTATCAATTAACTAGAAGATCGTAGTAAATGTTCAACTTTTACATACTTCCTCCTTCAGAATAATTACTTTTATATTCACTACAATAATATTTCCTTTATGTTTTATTTAAAACCTTTATTTATAATAGTTTTGTCAAGTCTGATATTGATGTCGTTGATGTTATATTTCATAAATAGACAAGCTATAGCCAGCTCCAGATCTTATATGCTGAACTGGATAAGCCAAAGACTAAGAAGTTAATATAAAATAAATAAATTGGTATTGTGATCATACTTGAATTCTTATATGGTCGATAACACATAAAATTTGTATTAAAGTCATCTTCATCATCATCATCACTGACTCGACAACCCTTTTTTGGGTCTTCGCCTTCAGTCGATTTTCTTTTCTTCGTTACGTAGTTGTTAATATTCCTCCAGTGCTTTCTGATATAATCTGACATTCTTCGTCAAATCAGTCATTCGTTCCTGTTCTTTGTTTACCTCCATGCCAAGTACTTCGTCAGCTGCTTCTTTTATGGTGTTTCTGCACTCTTCCCACATCTCATTTATGTGTTCATGTTCATTTTCTAGTATGATATTTAGTCTTTCTAGAGTCCTTCTACATTTTATCGTTCATGCTTAGAATCTCTTCCCTTTTTTAATGTTTGTAGTTATGACCCTTACCTTACTTTCGACTAGGTAATGTTTGGTGTCTTGCGTCTACAATAACATTATCTATCATATTTATTGTAAGTCCAGCTGGTGATTTCCAGGTGCCTTTGTATATATCTTTTTGAGTGAAGTATGGCATTGATTGTTGGCAATCACCATGTGATATTGCTAGGTTTATTAACCTATTGTCATTGTCATTTGATTACTCGGTTATCAACACAGTACAGTCTCCAGACTGTGCTTACCTATTGTGGGTTGGAATTGCTGTTCTCTTCTAAATTTTGCATCGATTAAGTAGGTCTCCATAATATAATTTTTTGGTCATGACTAGTATGCGAACTCTAATTCATCATAAAACTCTGCCGGAGTGTGCGCATTAATTGAACTGTAGTTGAATAAACTACTGGGGCTAATGACTCTAAAATCTCCTGTATGTTTTACCAGAGTTATATAGTCGTTAGTTCTCTGGTTTTACTTTCTTGATTACTATGAATCCAATGCCCAAGATGTGATCTTTAGGATCGCAGCTGTAGAAAATGGTATGGTTTCGTTTTTTCGTTATATTGTTTTCATTTCACCTCATTTCTTGTATGGCAGTTATGTCTGTTATTTTCTATACAACTGTTAAATTTATACCACAGATTCTCATAGGGTTGTACTAATTGTTGTTTTTAATGACTTCGAAATGAGCAGTATATTTTTTTTGTGTGTGTTGATAGTGCTACATCAAGTGTTGTCTGTTAATGATTTATAAGTGGGCGGAACATTTTTTGATTTAGTTTTTGGCTTCATTCCAAAAAACCTATATATTTTTTTGTTTTCCTCTATCTTGGTTTGCTAGTACCTGTAATATATCTGTTTCTTTTCATTTGTAGTATTTTTTACTTGTTAGGTCAATGTCGTACTACTACAATGTTCATTTCGTACTCCTTTATTGGATTTTATTTCCTTTTTTACCTAGGGTCTCACAACCAGCTTTGAAATACTGATGATTTGTTTTTTGTAATTGCCATTTAATGTAGTTAACAAGATAACAAGAATGTTTCGTCAATTATTACGAATGTGCGCTGAATGCAAACAGCTCACAAAAAGAGAGTAACTGCTTTTGAGAAAAACCTCTGCCTAATAGTACATAGGTATTATTCTTTATTATCTCTTTCTTTAAAATAAATTTTAAGCAATGGTATATTTTCGTACAATTATCTTGGCCAAATAAAACTATTAAAGCTCTCGTATCTTTCCTTTACTGTTATTTCTTTTACTGCTACTGTTTTTTTATGTGTTCCTTCTTTTATTTTAGTACAAACTACTGATTTTTCTTACCACAAGTTTGTTTTATAAATATTGTAGTTTTTATATTCGTTTATACATTTTTAGATACTAAAAAAATTGAATTCTACGTAGTAAACAACACATTTAACTTAGAATCAGCAAAGACAAAGATAGACCAATTTTATACGTCAAGGAGCACGCTTACCGCTATTTTTGACAACTCAAATCCAAAATCACCAGAGCAGAAGGCGGCGATTGACTCAGCGTATGTATTTCTTACTAAAATCAAAAGTTTTTATCTTATTACATTTAATCTAATATTTTCAGCCAAATTGTTCCATTGCCAAAATTGTACGATGACCTGTACGGTGTTATTTTGTTCAAAATGAGGGAAAACATACCAGTAAACTTGGACCCACACTGGTGGCTTGGAGCTCTAGTCAATGCACACGAGGTTAAAATACACGAGTGTTTGATGCTAAACTACATCGTAGTTTATGATTTAGAACACATGACACTAGGCCATCTTCTAAAGATTACTCCAATGTTCGCAGTAAATTCCAGTAAAATATCTGAGGTATGTATATAGGAAAACACAGACAAATACTAGAGTGGGCTGATAAGTTCTCCACCTTTTTCATAGATTTAAATTCAAATTTAAACGTTTAGATAAAAAATCACCTCACTGCAGGAGTTCCTCAAGGTTCTTGCACCAACACTCTACACCAGCGTTTCTCAAACTTATTTTTCCGCGACCCGGTTATTTTTGTGCTTATCCTTCGTTACCCACTTATATTTTTTTGCTTAACTTGGTGTATGTATATGTGTGTACAAGAAACTCTCGAAACCCCTACCCCTACCTCGAAAATGCCCTTATCACTCTCGCAGATTATTACATTGGTGACAGGCGGTCCGGTTTGGGGGAATTTCGGTAAATAGGGATAATTAAGTCACTTCTTCAGTATCCTTGTAAACTTTTGCAAGTTTTGTAGCTATAAGAAGCCTTCATCGTTTCATTTCGCCAGTGACATTCCAATTTTTTTTCTTCTCTTTCCTAAGACGACAACAGATTAAAGAAACAGTGAGGTATCCAGTAAATATTGTGTGGAGTGCAGGACTCCCTTTTCTGGAAGAAAATCCTTTTTCTCTCTTTGTTATATAAACTTGTTAGGAGTTTTACACAAATTATTCGTATATAGTAGATTTTTTTTTTGTCTTGTATCACTGGAGAATGGCCTCATATCGATCCCTTCCTAGAAACCTAGAATCCTAAATATTAAGATAGGTGAATTGCTTTTATGATATATGTGAAGAGATGACAAGTACAAATTTTTTCAAAAATACATACTAACACATTATATGATGTTCTCAATATAATTGTCTTTTTTTTAAATTCGTAAAATACCATAATATTGCACTAACAATATAAATAGACAGTCTAACAGATTTTAGGATATATAAGTATAACAGAGATTATTAATTGTTGGTAGAATATAAGAATGAAATATAATTGATTCAAGAAATAACCATTATTGTTCTATTTAGTAGTTAAAAATACAGAATTTAAGTTAGTAGGTCAAGATCAGTTCATTTGAGTGTACGAGTTTATTGCTTTCAAAAAGCGCAAAATATAAATTCTTTAAGTATTATTTTACTAACTAACGGTTTACATAAATATTATTAAATTCTTTTGTTTAATGTATCAAGTGAAAGTGAAATATGATACTATTTGCTCGACGTGTGTTTGAAAAATATTAAACGCGCTTGGTCAAGTAATATACACTGAGAAATTAGATATGACTTTGCTTAACTAATTATTAATTAAAGTAAATTGGGATATTTGGATTTATAAATAACGTTTAATTTGTAAAAAGGAAAAGAATTTAATACAGCTTAATTTTTCAAAAAAATAAATACTAACACCTTATTTGATATTTGACTATTGATTGATTGATCGATTATTATTTGATTTGATTATTTGATATTTCCTACAGATTTTTTTTAAGTTCGGCAGCGCACATTTCTAAGTTCTTTTATTTTAACAAAAATTTAATTCTTTATACAATTGTCTGTTAACGTCATAAATTAGCATATCATACGGAAATAAACATATAAACAAAAAGGGAAAAGAATTTAATGGAGCTTTGGAAGATAATTGACCGTGGCGTCAGAAATCTTTTCACTATTTTGGAATGATTTCCACGAACATATAAGTTCGGGAATGGATGCATCGCAAGGAAAATGCATAGAAGCACGTAAAGTGGTTCTTTGGGCTTTGGCCCATATTTAAAGAAAATTTAAATGAGATGTGGCGTCAGAAAATCTTTCTCACTATTTTGGAATGATATCCACGAATATATGAGTTCGGGAATGGATCCATTATGGAACAGTCAAGATTTAGTAGACGTGGAGCTTGCATCGCAAGGAAAATGCATAGAAGCACGTAAAGTGGTTCTTTGGGCTGTGGCCCATATTTAAAGAAAATTTGAGTCGAATCGTTGTCAACGTCCTATAGTGATTTTGACAAAACGTAACTTGCGAGACACTAGGAGGCTTGCTACAGTTTATGTACCAGGGAAAAGTGCAAATTGGACAGGAAGACCTAAGGGCCTTCACTGAAGCGGCCGAATCGTTGCAAAGGCAAGGACTCGCTGGAGACGGAAAAAAAGTATAATAGTTACTATCGTTTAAAGTAACTTCGCTACAGTTATGTACCAGTGAAAAGTGCAAATTGGACAGGAAGACCTAAGGGCCTTCACTGAAGCACTGAATCGTTGCTAAGGCAAGGACTCGCTGGAGACGGAAAATTCATAGTTAGTTACTATCGTTAAAGTAACATTATGGAACTTTATTTATGTATTTATGGAACGTACTCTGAATGTAGAAGAGTTTAAGCCAGTTTCTTTGCTTGAGACAAAGAAGCAGAACCATAAATAAGAAAGAATAATCAACGGACACAGGTGGGATGCCACAGAAATAGAGGCATATCTCACACAGCATACGAAGGTGAATACAGTGCCAGAAGTATATTTTTTTACAAGAATGTGGGCAAGCTGTATATGGTTCGACCTTAAGGGGTGAAACTTACGTCAAGTAGGAGGCTGCTAAGGGGATAAGCTAGGGTGGTACTAGAATCCCAACCCGCTAAGAGTCCCGCGGCTCCAGCACGACAATACAGTATCTACAGGATGTAATAAAAATGCGAAACGAATCTGGAATTATGATTTTGTTCATGAAGCAAATGGAAAATGAAGTAAAAGAAGAGTTATAATTAATACCTTCCACATGTTACAGGAAGGATATGGAAGAATAAATAGGATATATAGTACAGAAATATAAGAGAATATTATTTCTGGAACGAATTAGGAAGAAATGTTGGGACATATGTGAAATGTGAAGAGATGCGACGACTGCCAGGGGCATAGCACTCAATATAGTACAGAAATATAAGGAGAATATTATTTCTGGAACGAATTAGGAAGAAATGTTGGGACATATGTGAAATGTGAAGAGATGCGACGACTGCCAGGGGCATAGCACTCAATATAGTACAGAAATATAAGAGGATATTATTTCTGGAGCGAATTAGGAAGAAATGTTGGGAAATATGTGAAATGTGAAGAGATGCGACGACTGCCAGGGGCACGAGCACTTAATAAGAGAAATGAAAATAGTGTATAGAAAAACACAGGAGAATATAAATATATAAAATTTGAATTTGAGAGAATTTGAAGATGGAGACAAGGTATATTTGAGAGACTTAAGTAGCACGACAGGTCTTTCAAAGAAGTTACAGAAAAATGGTACTATCCATACCATTTCAAAGTATAGAAAAAGTTGGACCAGTGACGTATGCAGTAGGTACAAAAAAGGGAAAAATAGACAGGTAGTGTACGTCAATAGGTTAAAGAAATATTACGAGAATAAAACAATTGATTATTCCACGGAGGAGGAAGAAGAAATAGGAGAACCCACAAAAAAAAAAGAGAAGAAACGAAAGAAGAAGGAGTTGACCCTTCGAAGGTGGCAACACTGCCATTATGGGAACCAGGAACCCAAATTAACAAACCTACGAGAAGAAGAAATGGAGGTCAGGAAGACACCAGCCAACCAAAAAGATTAGAACGAATAAAGAAAAGACTAAAATGTTGCGGCATATTCCACATAACGAAAAACGAAAGGATGGAACACATACAACAGAATAATAAACAAGAATGAGACAGCAAAAATAACACAGAACGATGAGGACACAGACATGTTTTTCGACGCAATAGATGAATAGCGAAAAAATATCAAAACAACTATAAGAAAAGTTGAAAGCTTGGTATTACAAGAGACGGCCGCTCGAATAATACTAAAATTTTAACAAGGAACTCAATAAAGTTAGAAATCCGATTTAAAGATATACCATTACAAGTATAAGTTAAAAGTAAAAAAAATATATATATTATTAACGTAATATATTCAGCTTATTATCTCGCTCATCTGATGTGTTCATTATAAATAAACTTTTGCCCAACAGTAGTACACAATGTTAATAGGTAAGAAAATCCGCCAATAACAAGGAACGAAGGACAAAACACAGGTAATATAAGCATTCATAGTTAAATATTAGCACAGTTCAATAAAAATAATTTTTTTTGAAAACATAATAGTACATTATAACTAAAAGAAAGCTTTAAGAAAGAGAAATAAGTAAATTAATTTAAAGTTAATAGGGGTCTAAGCTGCTGTTGATTAGTAAGAGCTGGATCGGTAAGATACCATACGCCAATCCTTTATTGCTATGTCAAAACTGATTGACAGACTTTAATTCCTATCAACTAAGAAAGTAGTATAAAGATTGAGTCAGAGCACAGGTAAATAAACAACTAATAAAGGTCAAGTTTAGAAAACGTAACAATTAAATAAAAAAAATAAATATTGTAGTTTATAACAGACACCAAGAGTTCATTACATCAGTCAATATCAAATTTCATTAACAATGTGAGGATGAAATATCAGAATCAGCAAAACGTAGTTTAATAGCCTTGAAACATAAATATCATAACACTGAAAACAGGTCATTGTGTTTGACGAGAAATCAAAATAAATTTCACCTTTGAATTATTTTAAAAAGATTTGGGAAAGAGTGAGAAATATTACAATAATTTCTGACACTTTATTAAGAGTAAATATAGTAATTAAAATATTTTTCAAATAAGGAAAATTCGTTACACATACGTAACTATATACAATAAGTGATGACAAGTTGAGAATTAAAAATATATGACTCTAATATACAGGGTGTATATATAACAGAAAGATGATATATTAAATTGTAAATATTTAAAAAGTACAAGTCCCAATTATTAACATATTAATATTGGTTTAGATATCAATTTATTTATCAGTTTATAGTCAATAGGCATACTAATATGCAATACACTGTAGGTTACTTTATAAGTCAGATTAAGTAAAACTATCGCTAAAATTGTCTGCAATAAGCAGCTATACATGTAATTATAGGTTAATGTGCGTTTGGACTTACGCGTAAAAAGTACTAATGCGAACTAAAGTCTGCTTACGGGAGTGCGACCGTTCGGGAAGTAATAACAGTGCGATTTGGGACACTGGAGAGACTCATCACGATGGAGAGACTCATGTTTCACCGTGAGATGTACAGCCACACGTCCATAGTCGATGGAGGACTAGACAGCTACATCAAGAAGATAGGAGCAGAAGAATGCTGAAATATACACTGCTACCGATCGATACGACTCTACAATAGGCTAAATAACCTGGAAACAATACAATGACAACAGTTGTGAAAGTCAATTGTCACAACTTTACAGAGGGCACGTTGAAAAGGTCACTAATAAACAATCACGAGAAGAATTGGTAATAGTAGAACAAAATAAAAACATATTTGCTCTAACGTTACACAAAAGGGCTATAATATGTAACACAGAAGTATGGCAAACAGAACACCCCTAATCCTAATAAATTTCCTAGTAAACACAAAATAAATCCTAGTACGCCATTCCTACCTCAAAACGTAGACCTAATGACCTACATTACTAGCAAATTCCTTTACACCGAACAATCCTACCAAAGAGAAATAGAAAATCTATACTTAGACATAGTACTACGACGATGCCAAACAAAGAGAGAGATTTAAAAAAACAAACAGATTACTAATGGCCCCATCCTTACCTAACGCCGTCAGTCAACTCATGCAGAACAGGCCAGGGTACACATGCAGCAAACACATACCAGATACCAATGTAGCAGAAGTATAATGCGACAAAGCAAAGCAGTAGCAACCTGAGACGACCACCCAGCAAGGACAGACCAATGGAGGCAGACAGCAGCAGTTACGCATCAATATAGTTAACTCGACACGTGGAATTGGCAAACGGACATTAAAACAGCCAAGACGTCGCGAGTGAAGTGCGGACAATTCCCTCAGGGATACGCGATAAAGTGAACGCAAAACGCGAGTACAATCGTATAGAACAATTAGAATACGCTTGTCGTAATGGACACATGTAATCACGAACAATTGTAATAAGTTAGGAAAGTTCTTTCACTTGTTAAGTTTCAATAAGATTAATACAAGATTAACTCAACTTGTCATACACATAGGTTCAATACGGGGGCAGCACGATACATTCGCTGACCACGGTACAATAGTCTATAAGAAACAGTAAATGATAACATATAAATTGGGACTTATATATATATAAAAAAAAATATATATATAGTAGGATATAAGTAATAAATATGTAAATAGGATAAATTTATTGTTGGAAAAGGAAAAGGCCCCTCGGCCCTTTTCTTTTTTTGCGTAGGGAGTAATGTAATGTGAGAGTAGCAAGTGAGTGAGAAGTTGTAATAAATGGCTAAATAGCATAGAAAAGATAATAATTATTCGAGATAATTATTATATATTCCAAATTAAATAAGGGATAATTAATACAGTTAACTTATACATTTAAATTATACAAAGTATAACAATTGACCTAGTTATGGCATTGTTTGATAATTGTTTAAACGTATAAAAAGCACGAAACTATTAACAACAACAGCCGTGACCCAAATAGGCACATAACGCCAAAACTGCAACTCAGCGAACCTACGACCTTGGTACTAGAACCGGCGTTGAAAGTACGACCACAATAAAACAAGAAAAAACGACGGACGCCAGACAGTCGGTAGTTAGTAGTCAGTAGTTAGTAGTCAATCAGTAGTGATAACGGGGGCACCGTAACTGCCCGCTCAGGGTAGTGATCGGCGGACGCGATAGCGTCCAGTACGCGAGACAGTCGGTGATTTTCCGGGGGCCGGGTATCTTCTGTCAGAATTCGCGTGTAGTCCGGTTATTGTGGCAGCTCGAAAGTTCGCAACCCTCAACTGACCGAGTTCCAGAAGACTGAACGTGTCGTGGTTGAAGCCCTAATATACACATAAGGTAACAGATTTCTTATACTAACCTGTGTAATTATATTTGTACCTCTGTCAACTTTTCACTATCTTGCTACATCGTCTCCCGACGCGCAGAATAACGTGTTAACGATTGTATTAGGAACTTCAGGGTAGATTCAATATATTGTTGACTCTAATATGGTTTTTTTTTAATGTTCCTTCGTCCGACTCACTAGAGACTAGGAGAACACGAGAATTCTGCGTATACATATCTCCGGCTTCAAAAGTAAGCCCATAACCTCTACTCTTTACAGGACCTGAGACCGAGGAGTTCTTACCCCTATCCCGAAATCCCTTATCTTCTCGTAAATCCACGAAGACGAGCCAGCCCTCCAGACCAGTGTGACCAGTATTCCTTGCAGCCGCTCGCAGGGTTAGCATCCCTTGAGGATCTATTGTATTTTACATTTGGTGACAGTCTTTACAGGACCCTATACATAGAAGTCCTTAATCCCTCTCCACTTCTCGTAAATCTGTAGTAGATTATTACAACATGTTTAAATATTTATTATAATTTTAAATATTTTAATCAAGAATCGTTAGCTCCAAGAAAAATGTAATAAAACACAATAGAAATCAAATACTTTATTAATGGGAAGTATGAAGTTGTTTACTGGTTAACTAAAAACTTCACGTTTGCAGGAAACGATATTGATTTTATCCTCAGGCCCGATTCAAACGGTTAGCATCTATAGCCCTTCTAGCACATTGAAGAGAATGGATAACAGCATTGCAAGAACGTTGTACGAAACGTATTGATATTATAGGAGATAAAGTTGTAGAATAAACTTCTTTAAAAGCAAAAATTGTCATGACGTAAGGACTGTAACTTTTCAGACCACTATTAGGATTTAAATCAATGAAAAATATAACAGAAGATGAACATATTACACTTATAGTTTAATTTTTTTTAGAATGGACTAGGTGAGCGATTAAAAGAGGTGCATTTTATCAACTGTCCACCATTTTTTCAGATAATAATGAATATATTGAGAGCGGTAATGAGGGCAGACTTTTTTAGCAGGGTAAGTACAAATCTTTTTATAATTTGGATGTTGGAACACGATAGGCAATTGCGCTTCCTCGGTTGTAACTCTTAGAAGAAATCTGTGTAGAGTTAGTGGATTTTCTAAACAGCTATAAGTCATGCATGCGCAAAGCACAAATTTACGATTCGACCGTACAAATTTTAATAATTTTGGACGAGCAGATACGCAGATATTTCAAAGGACATTGCCGCTTAGAAAACCCACAAGTTCGAATAAAATACGCACATAGAAACTTTCAGGAAGTTTTCAGGAAGTAAAGATAACCATAAATTCCCTTAAAAATTGAAAGTCACCAGGACCAGACGGAATAACCAACGAGCTTCTAAAACATGGAGGAGAAAGTATAACCCTAGATATGACAAACACTAATATTGCACTGCAAGATACCAGATTCATGGAAAAACAGCATAATGATACCAATATTCAAAAAAGGAGATAAACAAGACCTCAACAGTTATAGAGGTATAAATCTACTGTACACAATACTTAAGCTCCCACAAAAGTCCTAACCAACAAAATCAATAAACTAACAACTTTATCAGATGAGCAACAAGGATTCAGATCCGGATATTAAGATACACGGCGGAGACAAGACCTGATATATCTAAAATGAGACGACTACTAGAAACAACAGAGATGAAAATACTCTAACGAATATCAGGGAGAAGTCTGTTAGATAGGGAGAGAAGCAAAACCATAAGAAAAGCATGCAATATAGAAGACATAAATGGATGAGTAATAAGCTTTACTCCAATATCAGACAGAGTCGCGATTCTGAAACTTAATTCAAAGACTGTTCCAATAAACATAGTACAGATGTATGCTCCAACAGCCGACAAAGATGAGGAGGAAATTGAAATATTCTATAATCAACTCAATGCCGCTCTAAAATTGACAAAAAAATGTGAGATAACAATCATCCTAGGGGATTTTAACGCCAAAATTGGTAAAGAAGCAGTGGCACCATGGATTGGTGAGTTTGGATTGGGCGTTAGAAATGAACGTGGAGATAGACTCTTAGAATTTTGCCAAAATGAAGATCTGGTTATAGTAAATACCTTATTTGATCTACCTAAACGTAGACTATACACGTGGAAATCACCAGCAGACCGAGAATCACACATCGTCAGAAACCAAATAGACTTTGTCTTGATCAGAAATAGGTTTAAAAATTCAATAAAATCAGCAAAAACTTATCCAGGTGCCGATATATACTCGGATCACGTCCCTATTATTGTCGAAATGGAAGCAAAATTAAAAAAGTTAAAAAACAAAAAGATTAGAAAAGAATTCGATGTGACAAGATTAAAAGATACTCAGATAGAACAAAGAGTTAGACAGAAAATCAATGATAATCTTAAACCCATCAAGTCAAAAAACACCAACTCTAAAGACGTAAATGAAAATTGGAGAGAGGTTCAACAAGCTTTAAAAGAAGCGGGAGAAGAAATACGTGGACCAATACCAAAGAAAAGACATATGTGGATGACAGACGAAATACTAACTCTCATGAATGAAAGAAGAAAAATATAAAAACATAAACACTAGCAAATACAAATCCTTAAACAGCAGGATTAGAAAAGACATAATAACAGCAAAAGAAAGATGGCTAACTGAACAGTGTCACGAAATAGAAGAATATGAAAAGAAATATGATAGTTTCAATATTCATCGGAAAGTGAAGGAAATGACGTCGGGAAAACAAAATAATATACATGTTATAAAAGACTCGAATGGTAACATTCTCACAGATACAAAACAACAACTAAACAGATGGACAGAATACATAAAAGAACTATTCGGGGATGACAGACAACAAATCATAGATGAGGACTCTGGTGAATCGGGACCAAAAATTTTAAAACAGGAAGTTCAATACGCATTAAAACAGACAAAAGGGAAAAAGGCCACAGGTCCGGATGAAATCCCGATTGAGTTTCTTAAACTGATCGATGATGAAATGATAGACATTCTAGTAGAACTTTATGATCATATTTAATCAAACAGGTATTTTACCAAAGGAGTGGTTAGTATCCACATTCGTAATTATTCCCAAAAAGCAAAATGCAAAAGAATGCTCAGAACACCGTACAATTGCATTAATGAGCCATGTTTTGAAAGTATTTCTACGAATAGTCCACAACAGAATTTACAGAAAGCTGGATGATGAAATTAGTGATAGTCAGTTAGGCTTTAGAAACGGCACGGGAACCAGGGAAGCATTGTTCGGTATAAATGTGCTCATGCAAAGAAATCTGGATATGAACCAAGACATGTATACATGTTTTATTGATTTTGAAAAAGCATTTGACAAGGTACAGCACAATAAACTAATTAATATTTTAAAAATGAAAAACATCGATAGCCGCGACATCAGAGTAATCTCGAACCTCTACTGGAACCAGAAAGTCAAAATAAGAATTGAAAATCAAATGTCGGAAGAAATAGAAATTCTTCGGGGTGTGAGACAGGGCTGTGTATTATCACCACTGCTGTTTAATATATATAGCGAAGCCATTTTCCAAGAAGCTTTAGGAGAGTGTAACGATGGAATGATAATAAATGGTGAAATTATTAATAATATAAGATATGCCGATGATACTGTCATATTCACTTCAACTCTGCAAAGTCTATCAAACATACTGGAACGGCTGAATGAAAAGTGTACCATATATGGTATTAAAATGAACTTAAAGAAAACAAAATTCATGGTCATTACAAAACATCCAAAAGACAACGAGACACTCCATATTAATAATATCCAGATAGAAAGGGTAGATAAATACAAATATCTAGGAACATTGGTTAGTCAAAACGCAGAACAAACGCAAGAGATTAAAAGCCGTATAGAAATAGCAAGGGCAAAATTTGTAAAAATGAAACATCTATTGTGTAGTAGAGACCTAAGAATGGATCTAAGGATAAGGTTATTGCGCTGCTACATTTTTACAACCTTGCTCTACGGATCTGAGGCATGGACATTGAAACAACTGGAGATTAAGAAATTGGAAGCTTTTGAGCGTTGGTGTTATCGAAGGATGCTACGAATAGCATGGGTAGACAAGGTTACCAATATTGAAGTCCTTGATAGGGTTAATAAGAGGGAAGAAATTGTACAGACAATTAAGAGGCGGAAACTTGAATATTTCGGTCATATATTAAGAGGTCCTCGTTATGGGCTACTACGTTTGATTATAGAGGGCAAAATAAAAGGTAAAAGAGATGTAGGAAGAAGACGAACCTCCTGGCTACGAAATCTAAGGGAGTGGTTTGGTCTGAGCTCTAGCCAACTATTTAGAGCTGCTGTAAGTAAAGTAAGAATTGCCATGTTGATATCCAACCTTCGTTAGAAGATGGAACCTTAAGAAGAAGAAGAAATGGATGAGTGACAAAACGAAAACAGTAGAATCAGTAGAAGTACATCAGTAGAATGGCAGAGGGTAGAATAGAACGAATAGCACGAGATAAGTCACCAAATGGACGAAGAATTATTGGCAGACCAAGAAAAATATGGTGTGGTAATTTAAACAATTTAGGAGGGTATTATTAAAGAAGAAACAGGATTTAAATCCTGTATACAAGAAAGAAGAGGAAGAAAAAGAAATGGAAGCTATAAAAATTACTACATGGAATATAAAGTTTTTATTCCCGGTGAATAAAAAATGCCTTATAGGAAATGATGAGACTTAGTGACATATAATAACCAGATTCTGAAAATAATGAAGGTAAAATGAATGCTAGTAAAGAACAACGATAAAAGTAGTTGATAATAAATATTTAACAAAAACAAGAGAAACAAGGTATGGATGACATAAAAGATCAACGACGAGAAATAAAAGACAGTCAAGAGAAATACAAATAACTAGATAGAAAAATAAAAAAATAAAAGAAACTAAAGAAATATGAATTAAGGAACAATGTCAAGAAATGGAAAATATAAGAGCCTCATACCCGAAGCTGGTACTTGATTTTAGCGATACACGGTGGTGGTGTAGACAGGGGTGAGACAATAAATATGCTCTGTTTGCTCTAAATGTACTCACATAGTGATGTTTAAATGTTAATCAAGAGATGCACGACTCATCAATATACTTCAAAAAGGCTTTCGACAAGATTCGCCACAATTGACTTATTAATTGTGGCGCTCTTTTTTAAATTATTGAATTCACAAGATTGCTAAAAGTTTGGCCAATATATATGGTCTTACACATTAAATACAAAGGGAACTAGTTCAGGCAGAAATAACATTTAAATTTATTCTCTTTTAGTTACATATACATCATACTGTAGACAGCTTCAGACAACGGTTTCCATCAGAATTGCTTCCAAAAGATTACGGTGGCAACGAAAAATGTATGGATGAATTAGAAGGTAAGTAGTAATATAGTATATGTGGGAGACATGGAATAATTAATTTCTTTTTGGGGCCAATTCTTGTTCTTCCTCTCTCTCTCTTTATCTCTTTCCCTCTCTCTCTCTATCTCCAATTGCGCTACAGACCAAAGGCCTCCTCCAAACTATGCCTCTAAACTTGTCGGTCACGCACCGATCTTCTCCAGGTTCTCACGTCTAGCAAATTTTGCTCGTCCGCTACCACTTCATCCGCCCACTTTTTGGTCTTGCGCCCTGAATTTCACTATCTAGGGCTCTTTTTGGCAATATTTCAGTCTCCATTCTCACTACATGACCAGCCCATTGAAGTCTTTGAAGTTCAATGAATTCTGAGATCGATGCCTCTTTGAACAGTTGGTAAAATTCACGGTTATACATGGATCTCCGTACTCCGTTTTCGTTAATAGGTCCAAATATTTTTCTTAGGACTTTTCTTTCAAAGACTTCCAGTTTTCGTTTTGTGTCTTCTGTCATCACCCATGTCTCGCATCCATAACATGCTATTGGTCTGATAATAGTTTTGTAGACCTTAATTTTCGATCTCTAGTGTGTGTTTTTGGAGTGGAACACATGCTTGAGTGAAAAAGCCTCGTTTTACTTGACTATTGTTCTTTGAATTTCTGGTTCTTCTATTCCATTCGTGTTTGATGTGACTTACAGATATATGAAACTTTCTACAGTTTCAATATTGTCCTCTAATTCAACTAGTACGAGTTGCTGCAGCTGATTATGAAGAGTAAAATCGATGGAAAAGGAGGTCCTGGTAGACGACAAATATCCTGGCTGAAAAACATTCACGACTGGACTGAGTTAAACACACAAACGCTCTTAAGAAAAGCAGAAGATAGACGAATTTGTAATGGTTATAGTCAACCTTCATTAGTGGAGACGGCACTAGAAGAAGAAGAATTCAACTGTGCGTTTGTTTCCCCTAGCTCTTGCCTGTGTTAGTTTTTTTTGTGTTTTGAATATTTATTTCTAATCCGGTCTCTTCTGCTCCTGCTCTTAATTGTGAATATATTTCTGTTGACCCCTATGCCAATGACAATGTCATTGGCATAGGCGGCAATCTGTATTGATTTATTTGTTAGGAGATTACCTTTTCCTATATTCAGTTGTATTATCACATATTCAAGAGTCAGTCAAGAATAGTATCGGTGATAGCCCGTCTCCTTGTTTTAATTCTTTGACTATTAGTGCTCACTTATGGGTGTGAAAATTGGACACTAAATAAGAAAACCAAAAACAAAATAAGAGCAACAGAGATGGAATTCTTAAGAAGAAGCTGCAGAGTAACAAGAAGAGATAGAATAAATACCATGGAGATTAAGAGGACAATGGAAATGAACTCCGACATAATAGACTACATCGAACACAAGAGGTTAACCTGGTACGGACATGTCAGAAAAGCAGACCAAAATCGGTGGACAAATAGAATAACAGAGTGAAGTCCGATAGGAAGAAGAAAAAAAGGCAGACCCCGAAGATCTTTCAGAGATGAAGTGGACGAAGCAATGAGAAGAAGAAACCTACAGGAAGGGGACTGGCTAAACAGGAAAAATGAGAGAAAACGGTTGAGTGAAGGAATACAGTGAAAACTGTGGAAATCCTTGTATATATAAATATATATATATATATATATATATATATATATATATATATATATATATATATATATATATATATATATATATATATATATATATAATACTATTAAAAAGTTCTCATTGAGCTCATTTTGTACTCTGACAGTTGCTGTTGAGGAGTTCATTGTTGCTTTTACTAGTCGGATGTATTTTTTGGGGGATATTAAAGCTATGCAATATTTGATATAATTTTTGTCCATTAATTGAGTCGTAGGATGGTTTGAAATCTATAAATATATTGTGGAAATCAATGTCATATTCCCACCATTTGTTTAGAATTTGTTTTACTATGAATAGCTGATCAGTTGTTCTTCCTCGAATGATTATATTTGCAAACAAAAATCAGGTGCTCAATGTACGTAATGAAGGTATTTATCATCTTTCTGCATATCCCTTTCCTTTTTTTTTCTTGTAGAATGCACTTCTGAACATGATGATTCTGAACCAGTGTTTTCCAAACTTTCTTAGATCGGAGACCTCTTTTGAAAAAAAAAAAAAATTGGCGATCCTCTCGTTTTATGATACCCAGTCAATCACTCGGCATTTAATAATATTGCCAAATTAAGAGAAATATTTAATACGCCGTCGAAGATTTGGTAAACGTACTTAACTAAGAGAAGGCGCTATAATACTTTAGTGTCTTGATTTTTCTGTTACTGTAAATTTGGCTTTATTTGAGCGGAAAAACGTGATTAAACAACAAATTACTGCGTTGTTCTGCTGTAAAAAAATGTTGCATGAGATATTTGTATTACATTAATTTTTTCATGTTTGGTATTTTATTAAACAGATCCATTTTTAAGAAGATCGTTAAAACTGTTTACGTCTGGAAATGAAAATAATAAAAGGAAGAACAGAAAGGTAGAAAAGTATGAGGCCTCGAAATTACTTCGGGATTTAAGTAGATATCATCCAGACACAAAATTTGTGCTTTAGCCAGCTTTGAAAGAAAGCTAGGGTTTCTTCATAGTCAACAAAACGATTTTTTCATTATCACACTACAAATGAGTTAGCATTACTAGCAAGCATTATATACAAAAGCATTACTAGCAAGCTATAGAGTTGCATATCGAATTGCAAAAACCAGTGAGCCACATATAATTGCTGAAGATTTGATTCTACCTGCAGCTGTTAAGTTGGTGGAAATAATAAAAACAATTATGATAATTAGTCCTTGCAAAATTAATCCTTGTAAAGTGTAATAAGACCTCGTAAAAACGTTTCTTTTCGTTTTGAAAATCATTTCGCGAACTACTCAGTTCTTTAATGTGTCGTGGCTTACACTTTGGGAGCCACTGTTCTAAACTCATTCTAGTCAGAGTCAGATCTCCTACTTTCCCTCTCATTGCATTGGTCTTCTTCTTCTAATGGCGCTACAACCCTTTGTGGCTCTTGGCTTGCTTAACAATATTCTTCCATTCTGCCCTGTCGGATACGTTCCTTTGCCACTGCCTGATATTCATGGTTTTAAGATCCCCTCTACGTCGTCTATCTATCTTTTATAGGGCCTTCCTCTTGTTCTGTTTCCTTGAGGCTTCCATCTCTGGACTACTTTTACAGCTCGATAATCTGTCATTCTTTCTAGGTGACCAAGCCAGTCTTTGTGACTTTACAAATCTAACAATATCTGCGCTCTGCATTAGTTCATCCAGCTCGTGGTTCATTTTAATTCTCCACGAACCATCGCTGGTTCGTGGAGGAAAATATCTTCCTTAGTATTTTGCGCTCAAATATTCTCAATTGATTTTCATCAGTGGTTGAGAGAGTCCACGTTTCACATCCATATGTGACCACTGGTCTAATTACTGTTTTGTAGATTCTAAGCTTAGACTGACGATTCAGCAATCTACTTTTCATTAAGTATTTTTATGCATAAAAGCACTTATTACCGTTAAGAATCCGTGCTTGTATTTCTTGACTAATGTTGTCATTTATTCTCTCATTGCATTACATATTTTATTTTGTTTAATTGTGCCACACACCTGTTTAAATGAAATTTATTTATATATTATGTTCTAAATTCCACAAGGAATCTACGTTCTTGTAGTTGGCTGTATACCATGTATTAAAAATTTAATTAAAAATCCTTTGTAATAGGTATATATTTTATTTCGTTTTCGGAAACCATGTTCCATCATAGGTGTCCTAGAAAATAGTTAACCACTTAATTAAAAAGAACATAGGTTAAAATTTTGACTAAGGTTAATGAAAAATGTGGTTAATACTTACTAGGAGTACATGAATGTAGCCACAATTATTAAATATGTGGCTAAAAACCCGATAACAGATGTTTAATTACATTTAGTTTTAAAATTATGTTATAATGATTTAGGATTATAGAGTTACCGATGGATTAGGTAACATGGCGACATATGACTCCACGTTGAAGTTGCTAGTCCTGAGACGGTATGTCTTCGAGGACTGTATGAGTGCAACTGATTGGCAATGACATTTTATGACAATATTGTTAAGTTATGATGGAAATTATCACAGAGCAGTCAATGTAGCTGTATGTTTCTACTTAAGACAAAAGCCAACGTTATTTAAAATTGTGAAAATTAAGTAAATTAATATAACAGTATCAACCATCAAAGTTGTAGTTTTTAATTTATGAAATTAAGATGATATAAGGGAGCAAAAATTGTATGGTTGTAGTTAGGCAACCAACTATACATGTATGTAGCAATGTAATATAGAAAAATTATTATTATATGGCCCTTTATGTTTCTCAAACATTTGGTACCCAGAAAATATAAACTAGACACATGTGGAAGGTTGAATTTTAGAAAATATTGATGTTAATGGTTGGATCTAAATGTATTTATTTATAATTGGAAGTGTTCTTGTATGAATAAAATAAAACTGTTTTAGTAAATGTTCACGTGTTATTTAACTTTTAACTCAAATATAGAGGCCCTGTATGTCAGAAGCAACATTTGGTACCTGGCAAATGTGAAAATTTTCAGTTATAAGTTCATGAACATAAATGTCTGACAAGGTAGTAACAGACTAAAAGGTGTGGAAGTTTTATTGTATTAGCTATTATATGTAATGAACGAAAGATTTTTTGATGGTTGGGACATGATTATGTAATATGTTGAAAGTGTGATAATCTACTTATAACTTAAGAAAGGTACTATGTGTCATAAGGCAACACTAGGCACAAGAGAAATAAAAAGGATAAGTTATAAGTTAGGTTTGTTGTAGGTATAAGTTGTCTTAAATTGTGATGATGGTATGGTTGGCTTTGTTGATATTAAGTGAAACGAAAAAGTTTTTGTAGTGTCATCTTTGCAGATGAATAAGTTATGTAATTTGATATTATTCATAATGGATATAAGGATCTTAAGGTGTTTGTTCAACTATTGTGTGAAATAAACAAAATTTGAAGGTTGGGATATGGTTATGTATTATGTTTATCGTATAGAACTCAAATTATCCCCTATCGGTTATAAGACAACACTAGGTACATGAAAAAATTTGATGAATAAGTTATAAGTTGAATGTGTCTGTGTTGTGTACTGGACTTAACTTGAAATTGAAAGATTAATAGATGGCTATGTTCAAATTGAATAAGAAAGTAATTTATGGTTCTTACTCAATTCTTCTTACTCAATTTGAACATAGCCATCTATTAATCTTTCAATTTCAAGTTAAGTCCAGTACACAACACAGACACATTCAACTTATAACTTATTCATCAAATTTTTTCATGTACCTAGTGTTGTCTTATAACCGATAGGGGATAATTTGAGTTCTATACGATAAACATAATACATAACCATATCCCAACCTTCAAATTTTGTTTATTTCACACAATAGTTGAACAAACACCTTAAGATCCTCATATCCATTATGAATAATATCAAATTACATAACTTATTCATCTGCAAAGATGACACTACAAAAACTTTTTCGTTTCACTTAATATCAACAAAGCCAACCATACCATCATCACAATTTAAGACAACTTATACCTACAACAAACCTAACTTATAACTTATCCTTTTTATTTCTCTTGTGCCTAGTGTTGCCTTATGACACATAGTACCTTTCTTAAGTTATAAGTAGATTATCACACTTTCAACATATTACATAATCATGTCCCAACCATCAAAAAATCTTTCGTTCATTACATATAATAGCTAATACAATAAAACTTCCACACCTTTTAGTCTGTTACTACCTTGTCAGACATTTATGTTCATGAACTTATAACTCAAAATTTTCACATTTGCCAGGTACCAAATGTTGCTTCTGACATAGGTACAGGGCCTCTATATTTGAGTTAAAAGTTAAATAACACGTGAACATTTACTAAAACAGTTTTATTTTATTCATACAAGAACACTTCCAATTATAAATAAATACATTTAGATCCAACCATTAACATCAATATTTTCTAAAATCCAACCTTCCACATGTGTCTTGTTTATATTTTCTGGGTACCAAATGTTTAAGAAACATAAAGGGCCATATAATAATAATTTTTCTATATTACATTGCTACATACATGTATAGTTGGTTGCCTAACTACAACCATACAATTTTTGCTCCCTTATATCATCTTAATTTCATAAATTAAAAACTACAACTTTGATGGTTGATACTGTTATATTAATTTACTTAATTTTCACAATTTTAAATAACGTTGGCTTTTGTCTTAAGTAGAAACATACAGCTACATTGACTGCTCTGTGATAATTTCCATCATAACTTAACAATATTGTCATCAAATGTCATTGCCAATCAGTTGCACTCATACAGTCCTCGAAGACATACCGTCTCAGGACTAGCAACTTCAACGTGGAGTCATATGTCGCCATGTTACCTAATCCATCGGTAACTCTATAATCCTAAATCATTATAACATAATTTTAAAACTAAATGTAATTAAACATCTGTTATCGGGTTTTTTACCCACATATTTAATAATTGTGGCTACATTCATGTACTCCTAGTAAGTATTAACCACATTTTTCATTAACCTTAGTCAAAATTTTAACCTATGTTCTTTTTAATTAAGTGGTTAACTATTTTCTAGGACACTGATGATGGAACATGGTTTCCGAAAACGAAATAAAATATATACCTATTACAAAGGATTTTTAATTAAATTTATGTTCTAAATATTTTAATAAAAATTATTTAATTCTTTTATAATGTTTTAGCTGCATGGATAAAAAAATATGAGGAATACCAAGAACACTTCGATAGGTTGGATACCTTAAGGGTCGACGAATCGCTTCGACCCAATCCAGACGTTCCCAAAGATTTGATTGGACTTGGGTTTGATCATTTTAGGAAAATGTTTTTTGACAGTTAGACATTATGTTAAAATAAATAAATTATTGTTAGTTGATATACTTTAGGTTTTATTTTTGTTAGGTTTTATAAAGGAAAATATAATAATATAAAATAAACTTATTAAATCCCAATTTTTATTGTATAACAATTCTCTGAAGAATATTTATTTAATAATTTGACTGATTTGAGGGCAAACCCCATTACAATACACCATAACCATAGAGTATTCAAATCATCCCGGATCAATCAATATCCAACATTGTATTAACTCTTCTAAAGAGTTTGAGATCATCTGCAAACATTAACACGTCTTTGTATTGTAATTTATTTGTTAAGTGATTACAAACAAAACAACAAGGGGGACACACCCCTTCGTCCTTTCTTTATATACGTTCAGTAACAAAAAATGTGATACGAGAAGGCTAAAAGATAAGGAAGAGCATAGTAACATGGAGCAAACATATGATCCAGAAGAATCACTCCAGAGTATATGTGAAACATTTAATAAGATCAGAGAAAAACATCTAATAGAAAATAAAGAGAAGAGGAAAAGTTGGATGAGTGACAATATACTACAACCCATAAAAAATGAAGAGATTCAAAGAATAATAAAAAGAATGTACAAAAATATTCAGAGACAAATAAGAACCAAAATACAAAAGGCCAAAGACAATTGGTTTAAAACACAATGTGAAAAGATATAGTTGTTGGAACAAAAACACGATACATTCAACATGCATAAAAAAATGTAAAACAAGCAGCTGGTCTTCAAAAATCCAACACAGCTAGCAAACAGCAAGATCAACAGAGGAACATCTTACTTACTTACTCCGTGGCGTTACAACCCTTCGTGGGTTTTAGCCGACTCGACAACATGCCTCCACTGTTTTCTGTCTTGAGCAACCTCCATCCAATTCTCCACGCCCATAGTGCTTAGGTCTCCTGCTATATTATCTCGCCACCGGAGACGAGGGCGTCCGCGTGGTCTCCTTCCAGTTGGGACTTCCTGCCACACCAGTCTTACTGTTCGTTCGTCAGAATGTCTTCTGAGGTGTCCTGCCCATTGGAGTCTTCTGGACTTTATTTCTTTTATGATGTTGGCGTCTGGGTAAAGTTCTTCAAGCTCTTTATTAGTTCTTATCCTATATTGTCCTGATGTTTCATCAAGCACCGGACCAAAGATCTTCCTTAGGATTTTTCTTTCCCAAACACGTAGTCTCTCTTCATTTGCCTTTGTCATCGTCCACGTTTCGCTTCCATACATCACAACGGGTCGTATGATTGTTTTATAGACCTGTATCTTCGTACGTCGTGTTAGTTGTTTTGATTTTATAAGGTTTTGGAGGGCAAAAATACATCTGTTGCCGGCCTGAATCCTGTGTTTATTTCTTGTGATCCGTTATTGTCTTCAGTTATTGTTGTTCCAAGATACTTGAATTCCCTAACGCGCTCAAAGTTAAAGTCATCGATGGTAATGTTCTGACCGATTCTGTCTCTGCTTTGGTTATTGCGGCTCATATACATATATTTCGTCTTGTTTTCGTTGATTTGGAGCCCCATCTTCTCTGCTTCCTTCTCAAACCTTACGAAAGTCTCCTTCATCCTTAATCGCGTGTTTCCTATTAGATCTATATCGTCTGCAAATGCCAGTAGTAAGTTTGGTCCTTCTCGATGAAATACTGTATTCGGTTTTCCGATTCTTGCACTTCTGATTATGTGCTCCAGAGCTAAGTTGAAGAGTTGTGGTGAAAGTGCATTTCCCTGTTTTAGTCCATTGTTTATTTCAAATGTCTCCGAGTATTGTTGTCCAACTCTCACCTTACATCGTAACCGTTCCATACACATCCGTATCAACCGGACTAGTTTTTTTGGAAAGCCAAGTTCCTGCATCGCTGTCCACAGTCTGTCCCTACATACTCTATCAAATGCTTGTTTAAAATCTATGAACATCTGATGAAGCTCACGATCAAACTCCCAGCATTTTTCCATTATCTGTTTTATTACAGAGGAACATCATCTCAGATAAAAATCAAGAAATATGCATATGGACCAAATACATACAAGAACATGTATAGTTCATAGTAGAACATACAAGAAACCGGAAAATTAAAAAAAGTGATTTATACTCAAAATAATAGTTCAGATAAAGAGTAATCACTGGATTTTATTGTATGCTTTCTCTTATCTGAGATAGTTGTAAAACGAAAAATACTCACGTGGTTCCAGTTTTTTAAGAAGCGGACCTTTAAATTTTTCGTCCAGTGCCCCAACTTCAGCCTCAAATTTATGTGTCCTAAAAAGCCGTTTCAGAATATAATTCGCAGTATAAGATGCAGTTTTTTGCGTGGTAGTAAGTCCAGTTACAACCTCAGAAATTTAAAGTAAAGAAATTTTAGTGAAATCCTTTTGTGTTGATTTTTACAGATAAACATTTTCTAATAATAATTTCTTTCATAACAATTTAACAAATTGTAATAATTAAAATTGTAGATCTCAGGGTGTGGCTTAATTGTCATTTTATTTGTTTTCAGTTTTAAGATTTAGTATTGACATATGACATAGTTTTATTTAAAAGGATATTTTTTTATTTGTAATAATTTATTTCTGCTACAAATTATCCAGCTATTAACTATCTGCTACTAATTATCTGCTACCCAGTAACAATTGTAAGTTTTGTAGTATATCCAACTTCTAGAGTTTGTAAAAGGATAGGACATAGTAATTTTTTTTTGATATTTGTAACTATTTGCGGTGAGACAACAATAAATGTGTAATTTTTTTCCCTAAACCATTTTGTTTATTTATTTTAAAAAAGTCTCTAAACCCTTTTTTGTGTGTTTAGAAAGGAAGAACCTTTTCTTTCATCCAGTAGGAAGATTCCTCAAAACGACTTCCTTATTTTAAATAGCTAGAGGACCTTCTTGTGTTTTGTTTGTACGGGAGACTTATTTTGAAACAAAAGTACCTCTTTTGGTTTCATTTATACAATACCCATAAAAATCAGGTTACTACAATGTTATATCTTTTCTATACTGCTATATCGAGTTGAGTCGTGGACTCTCGCAGACCCTACCTGCAAAAAAAATTGGGTCTTTTGAAATGTGGCTTTATCGACGAATATCGTGAAGATATCCTATACTGACCACGGTGACCAAATTAAAAACGGTGTCTCTCATATCCCAGTGGAAACCCGAGGTGGAAGCCACAAGGAAGTTAGGTTTGCTCCGAAAAGAGAAGAAATAAAAAAGTTGATCCGTAGTTTCCAAGCTATTGAATTGCATTATTCATGACATCACTCATCACGTGTCTACCTACTATCAGACCTGAATATGAAAGAAGAAATTGGAAAGGTTACTCAGTGATTTTTCAGGAAAATATTTTGCTCAGATTTCAACATTGGATTCTCTTACCCTAGCATGGATAAATGTAGTATTTAAAAATATATGAAATATATATATGCCTAAATGCCCTTAAAAATATTAAATAAACAAAAATATCTTCTTCTTACGGTGCCTTATCCTTAAGGACGTTGGCCATTGCATTTGCCCATTTAATCTTGTTTGTAGCAGCCCTGAATAGTTCTATGGAGGTCATGTTCGTCCATTGCCGTAGGTTTTTAAGCCAAGAGTTGCGTCTTCTTCCTGGTCCTCTTTTGCTATTGACTTTGCCTTCAATTCTAAGTTAGAGCAGTTCATACTTTTCATTTCTTATGATGTGACCAAAATATTGTGTTTTCCGTTCTTTTATTATAAGCATAAGCTCTCTTTCCTTATTCATCCTCCGCAAGACTTCCGCATTTGTCGTATGGCTCATGTAGGATATTCTGAGCATTTTACGGTAACACCAGAGTTCGAATGCTTGGATTCTTTTTTGTGTTGCTTCTGTCATTGTCCAGGCTTCAACACCATAGAGCAAAGTGGAGAAAACATAGCACTTAAGTATTCTAGTTCTCAGCGGTTACATAGAACTTTTTGCATTTTGTAACGTGCCTTTTCCAGGCGTATTCTTATCTCTAGTGAGTGGTCCCAAGTTTCATCAAGATTACTTCCAAGGTGCGTTGTTCTTGTTACTCTTTCCAAATCTGTTCCGTCGACATTGACCTTCACCCTTCTGTTTTGGTGCTTGCTGATGACCATCGTTTTTGTCTTCTTTGTATTCAATTTCATTCCAAATTCTCTACAGGCTGTAGTTACTCGGTCCATTAAGCGTTGCAGGGCTTCAGCATTATTTGCCAGTATGACAGTGTCATCAGCATATCGCAGGTTATTTATACATTGCCCGTTTTATAATTATACCATCCGAGGTGCCTTCCAAAGCATTCTGAAATATCTTCTCAGAGTAAACATTGAACAGCAAAGGTGATAGGACACATCCCCGTCTTACTCCCTTCTCGATATTGATTTTTCCAGATGTTTCGCTTTTTATTCTGATTTTAGCCTTTTGTTCTTGGTGGAGGTTATCGTCGATATTACATGACCTTAAAATATCTATTAGTTTATCATGTTTCACCAGGTCAAACGCCTTCTGAAATTCTATAAAACACAAGTATACATCAGAATCGACATATCTACATCTTTCAACTAGCACACGTATTGAAAAACAAAAATATAGGTAACAAAAACAATGATTTTGTAAACAAATACGCATCCTGCACGTGGCACTGATTTTTGCGTATCTGAATAAAAACTGTTTTATACTTTGTAGTTAGTTATTTGGGATATACAAGGATTGTTTAATAACTACATAATAACAACTGAGTAGTGGGTGGAGTATAGCATTTTTATAAAAGTTTAATTACAAACAAATTCAAAGCAGGGTAAGATTGAAAAGTAGTAGAATTTGGAAGTGATATCAAATTTTAAGATTTGTTTGTAGAGAGTTGTAACTAAAAACATTTTTTCTTTGTAGAAATGTTTTCCGAAAGTTGTTTATATCAAAAATTGAATATGTATCATACGAAAACGTTGTGAAAAATTAAGTAAACTTTTTAGGACAACAAATCAACGTTACAGTCGCTCG